CTCCCCCCCGCGCCCTTCCGCCCCTCCTCCGCTGCCTCCTCACAACAGCCCTGCGAGGCGGGTTGGGCGCAGCGCATGCGCGTGACCCCGGGCCACCCGGCTGCCTCCCGTGGCCCCAGAGGGGGATTCGAGCCGGGGGTCTTCCGGGTTAACATAAGAGAACCTAAGAGAAGCCAATGTTGGATCAGGCCAAGGGCCCATCCAGTCCAACACTCTGTGTCACACAGTGGCCAATAATACCAGGTGCCATCAGGAGGTCCAGCAGTGGGGCCAGGACACTAGAAGTCCCTCCCACTGTTGACCCCACCCCCCAAGCACCAAGAAGACAGAGCATCCCTTGCCCCAGGCCAAGAGTTCCCATCTATACCTTGTGGCTAATAGCCACTGATGGACCTCAGCTCCATGGTTCTTACAGGGCTCTTTTTGTAGAAAAAGCCCAGCAGGAACTCATTAGCATAATAGGCCACACCCAACAGCAAAAACCAATTAGCATATTAAGCCACACCCCTGACAGCACAACTCATTAGCACATTAGGCCACCCCCCCATGTTACCAGAAGTGTGGTCATCCAGCCACACCCACCTTTTGCTTCTTATTCTTTGTTGTCCAAACCCAGGGCCTTTTTGTAGCAGGAACTCCTTTGCATGTTAGGCCACACACCCCTAATGTAGCCAATCCTAATGAGTTTCTGCTGTTGGGTGTGGCCTATTATGCTAATGAGTCCCTGTGGGGCGTGGCCAACTTGGGAGTCAGCTGGAACTCCGTTCCTGTGCGTTCCTGCCCAAAAATAGCCCTGGTCCTTAATCACTGTAGCACTCCAGAGTTTGTGGGAAACCCGGGCTGGCTTCCTCTCCTCTGTTTTAACCGCACGACAACCCTGCGAGGTAGGTTAACCTGAGAATATCTGGCTCGTCCGAGGCCACCCAGCTGGCTTCCCTGGCCCCAGTGGGGATTCGAGCCTGGGTCTCCCAGGTCCACACTGGCTCTCTGGGGGGTTCTGTGGGAACCCAGGCTGGCTTCCCCTCCTTCATTTTATCCTCACAACAGTTTTGCCCAGGTAGGTTAGGCTGAGCAGATGCAATTGACCCGAGGCCACCCAGCCAGCTTCCATGGCCCGATTGGGGATTCGAGCCTGGG